AGGTCCCTTGTTGAAAATTTATTTATAAAATATTTTTTTTAATAGTGTAATATTTGTTTTATTTTTTAAAAATATAAATAAATAAATCACGTTGGTTCAGGTTGTAATATAGACAATTTAAGGACAAAATTAACCTCTGTCTCAACATAGGTTATTCTGATGTGCCTGGCATAAGTAAAATTCTAGTAAGCAGTGCAAACCTTAAAACTCACAAGCCCCACCCTATCTACAGCCAATTTTATTCAAAGTTTAAATGAATGTAAATAAGCTTGAATTTTTTTAAATTTTTTTTTACAAAATATTTCTGTGGTGAACAAGTTATAATCCATCCCATGTACGGGCTTTGGCCTGCCTCACTTCTTCCCTCCACTCAGACCTAACTAATGCTTTTCTTTTCCATGCTTGGATTTTCAAGTTATAATGGATAAACAAAATTTAAAACTAATAAAACTTATCAACTGAAAATATACATGGGTTAAAAAATTGGTTAAATTAAAAATAATTGAATATGCATATAGAATCATCTCAATATGAACATATAAAGTTGAACATTTAAAGAAAAGCCTTTGCAACAATGTATAGATATTTAAGTATAACAATATTATAATATACAAATACGAAATTTCTAAATATGTTTATAGATTTATATATGAATAAAGATTTTTAATGTGTACATACATATATTTAGAAAATAATTATAAACAACTAAAAAAGAACTCTATGAACAATATCTAATATAATTCAAAAAATGGTCCCATTAATGTCTAAATCTATTGATATGGTTAAATGTAGTCTTGATATAAATTGTATAGAAATTTAAAAAATGATTATCAGAACATTAAAAAAAAATTTTTAAAGGGAAAAAACAACCCAAAATCAATTGAGTTAGCACTACCAAAAATTATTTTACAATCAACAAACAGTGACATTGAAAAAAAACATTCATTAAATTATATCTTTCTCGCTGAGTATATTGCTTTAAAAAAAAAAGCACACCAAAAATAGTTGAGAGAATAAAGATTATCTGTGTTTCTTAGCAAATTGTTAGTGCTAAGCTTACCCATTAACACATATTTAAGGATAAGGGAAAAAAAGTATGAAAGCCTTTTAGCAGGTAAAGTTAAGCCTTGAGAATATTTTTAAATGAAAGAATGTCTTAAAATTTAAACTGTGAGTAATGATTGACTAACAAAATAGCTAGTAAAACATAAGGTTCAATCATAAATGGATATTATATCAAATGAAGTGAGCTCAAATTTAAAAAAAAATAATAATCTACAACAATCAAAGTTATCATCATCAATCAATCAGTATCACAATTAAGCAAGCATGTTGTATCCAATGATTTTTTTAAACCAAACCTATTTACCTTTTCCCCCCTCTTCATTGATCTACCTCAATCCAAATAAGGATTTTTTGTTTAGCCATTTTATGTTAAGAACAATCTGCCCTTTCTTTGAATGCCAGATCTTCTATCTGATTACAGATGTTAAAAACAAAATTATAATTACCCTTCCCAAAACTAGCCATGGACATAATTTTTACCCTGTATTAACTCTGGATCGTACTGTTACCCTAAAAATTAAGGCAGTAGATCCCTTTTCCAAAACAGTGTGATGATAATAAATTTTTTATTTTATTTTATTGAATTGCTTTTTTCTTTTCACATGTGTAACCTTAAATAAAAATAAACATATGTTAAGTGCCCTTTATTTAGATCAGAGCTCCACAAACACTGAGCATAGAACAGTAACCATCTAATTCTTTTTTTCCTAAGCTTTTTGGCACCTATCACTAACAGAGCTGGTAAAAAGGTGAAAGGGCTTAAAAAAAGTGGCCTCCATGCTGCCATCAGGAAGAAAAAGTTTTAATTTCACAGACTGTTTGAGCTTCAAAATTGTACTTGTAAGATAAAGCTTGCAATAATAATGATTGTAAGATTTATATTAAATATATTTAGTATTGTATTAAATGACAAACCGTAATAATGGTTAATTTTAAGTGCTCTGTCTAACACTGTCCAGCACCCTTTTTAAAACATAGATAATTTCTAATCTTGAAGATTAAATCAACACCCCTCTCCCCCCTGTGGGGGTTGTTTGACCCTCCTTGGGAAAAAGAGCCCTAATGATAACACTTACAAATACACAGCAAAGAATAGATCTATATTTAATTTTTAAATCTACAAAATAATACTTGCATTTAAAAAAAAAAAAAGCAATTCAACTAAAACAAAATAACATAGAATAAAAATAATCAAAATCACTTGATGAAACGTGTTATTATATAATATACACAAAATACATTCATTTATATATTCTTGAGAAAAAAAAATAATTAAGAACACAGTACAAAACAGAATAAAAATTTGAATGTGATGCAAGAAATTTCCTGAGTTGAGTTAAATGTTCAAATAGAATCAGATTTTCTGGTTATCTTTCTGAGGTTTATCTTTTCATTTTAAAGTAGAGGTTAAATATTTCGGATTAGTTGAAATAGATAATAACAGATACCCAGCTTAAATGTATAATATGCCACCATAAGAGATGGGCTTTAAAAAAAATCTTTCTTTTACAATCATCAATAAAATAATGTATTGTTTAACTTGTTTTAACTAGCCATCCTCTAACTGCGTGAGAAGTTGGATTGCAAGTCATTTTCAGTGAACCTGATATCTTCTTTCTGCTTGAGCAGATTATAGATATGGAAAAACTGGACAAATAAATTTTAAATCCAAAAAATATTCAGCATTTATGATTTAAAAAAAAAAAAAAAAAAGCTTTACCAAACAAAAATTTGGTAGCATGTTCGCAGCAGATAATAAAGTTCAGAGTGCAAACCCGCGGGGAGGGGGGTTGTAAACAAAAGCTTTAAAAATTTAAAAAACAACCCAATCTAAAATGAATATAAAGTTTGTTTATGACAAAGATTCATAAAACACAAATTTAAAAAAGTCATCATGTCAGTGATATACAGCTGGCCTGTAACATGTCACATATATAAGCATACTGTAAATAAGTAGACTCTGTTAAATATTAAAATGATATGATTAAACCAACATATAAAAAGGAAAATAAATTCTAATTACTTTTTTAAAAATGCTACATTTATGGAAGTACTTTATTACTTAAAAAGTAATTTTTTACATTTTTTTTTAAAGCAGTTATAATAGTATTGCTGTTAAAATAATGTTATACTAAAAAATCAGAAGAAATTTAATCTGTGGAAAAAACAAATGGAGTAGCAACAATATAAATAAAACATAACCAAATAAATCACAAACTTATCCGCTATGAATCTGTGATTATTGCTGCTGTCTATCACGAAATAAGTAACAAGCTGTAAGTTATGCATGTGTCATGGGGGTAGGGAAAACATACTTAAAACCTTTTTCAAACATATTCCAATTAAAGTTTATTTTTCTAAATTATGAGCAAAACAAACAAAAATGTTCTTCTAAATGTATGGCAAAAGATTTAAGATGATAAATAAAGCCATCCTTCACAGAATAAACTGTTTTGGTTAGAAGGGGAATTAGAAGTCATGTTTTATGAGAAACTGTAAAATTTCAAAAGTTTTTTTTTAAAAATTATGTATTTTTTTTATAAAAAAGGGATATTATATCAGAGTGCTGAGTTGTAAATAAATACACCATGTATAACACCAGGTTCCTGTAAATGCTTTCAATAATTGAAGAGCATCCTAAAGTTAGCCATACTTAAAAATTGATTTCAACAGATTTTATTTCCTGTGATCTTTAGTTTGATCTACTTTTGTTCATTGCTTAGCGATGGATCACTACAAGGGTCCATGATCAGGTCAGAAAGAGATTCCCAGAGTGGACATGAAACAGAATGGAGAGAAGATGGTGATGAACTAGTGAATGGTGGTGTTGGGTCTGAGCCAAGTTGTTCATTTTCATAAATTTTGGGCACTGATATGGCAGAATGATTAACTGTTACTGAGTCAGCCTGGTTCTCTGGCTCTAAAAAAACAGAGAAAACATGAGGCATCTCTCCTGTTCTTGCATGCTTTAACTTAATTGGCTTTAAACAAGGCGAGCTCCTTTTTAAATGACGACGGCCGATGCTTGAAGATTGGTTTTCTCCGATACATCCTAACTTTGTGCAAGGTATTCTTCCAGCTTTGACCAATTCATCTGTCCCACCGTTGCTGTCCGTTACCTGTGCAGCAGGTTGGAACGAAGGCAATGCATTGGAGGAGATAAAGGCAGCAGTGGAGATTACTGGAGGTAATGAAGGTAATTTTTTCCCAGAAAAACTTGACCAGAGCGTCGATGGTGGTAATGAAGATTGTGGTGCACATAAGCTGATGTTATCAATAAAAGCTAAGTCGTCACACTTGACAGTCGTGTCCAGTGTGTTGTCAACATCATCACTGTTACATATTTCATCCAAACGCCCATGTGACACAGATAAGAGCTCATTATGATGTTGGCAAGTGGCACTGTCTGACACATGTGAAAACTGATTGAGCCTGTCCATAAGGTCCTTGTCTATCTCCGTATGTGATTGGAAAGATTTCCTGCTGCCTTTACCAAACATTCTTCCAGGGGCTAGTTTCTCGCCGTTTGTATCCACAATGGTATGTTGATTCAAGCTTGGCTTAGATGAAGCACTGCCATTTGAAATGTTGTGATACAACAAACTAACTGATTTCTTTATAGTCAGCTTGGAAACTTTACTGCTTACTGATTGTCTTTTCTCAACCCTGCACTTTTCAAAATATTCTGGGAAAGTCTTTGAAACCGATGGAATGTTTAAACTGTGAGCATTTGATGTGTCTGCCTGAGACAGTTTATTATTAACAATTTCCTCAACTTGTGAATGATAACTGAAACCCAATTTATTTTCCCCACATAATTCAATTTCACCTGCATTATAACCAAAGGGTAAATCATTGAATTCCCCAATTTTGTGTAAAGCTAATCCAAATTTTTTCTCAGGGTTTACTGATTTCTCACCGAAAAAGGACGAAGAAAATGAAGATATTTGTGAAAGCGAATGTTTGAATGGATTTTGGCTTGGGTATACCTGAGCATGATAAATTTGAGGCTCTGTAGCTGTGCGGAAAGTGGAGTAGAATCCACTTGGATACATATGAGCGTGTGGATGCATCGGATAAGCTGTGGGTCCAAAGCTGGCTTGGTTGGTTGGGAACTGCCCTAGCCCAGGGAAGCTGGGAATGCTGCTGGGGGGTATATGAGAAGGAGGGGGATAAAATGGTGCATTCATGGACCTCATGTTGGCATGGTTTGCATGGTTGGCTGTTGCATGGGAAAGATCTTGTGAGAATCCTGCCATACCCCCCATACTGTGGTGGAAAGTGTGCTGGGACACTGACGGTGAGCCGAATCGAGAGGTGCCAGCATCAGGGAGACCAAGGCGGCAAGAGGACGGAGCAAAGGATGATGGGAAAGGGGTTGAGTGCTGCTGGAAGCCATAAGCAGCTGCAGCTGCATGGTGATTGGGCAGAGTTGAAGTCGCCCAGGTGGTTGCACGGGGCAAGGCATAAGACATGGAGCTCCATGTGTCCATTGTAGGGAAGTAAGGATCTCTTGTAGACAGACCAGATGTCTTGTTGGACTGGTGGTGTGCGTGGTGACTGCTCATGGAGTTGAGAGGCGACGCAGCAGCTGCAGCAGCAGCCGCCGCTGCAGCCAGATTCATATCATTGGTGTGGTTCATGGCGGCCGCACTTTGGTCTAGCTTACAATGAGCGCCAGAAGCTGCCGGCCCACCTGGGTATCTGGACATGTCACCTATAGCTTGTTTGGCATGATCAAGGACCTGGTGGTGATGGCTCATCGAGTCAAACAATGAACTGCGGTGCTGGTGTTCCATCATTCGATGTCTCAGCGGGTCTAGAACACTGGGGTTCATTCCCTGCATTGCAGAAAGAGCTGCAAAAGGTGATTGGTTGAGACGACATGAGCTCAGCTCTGAAGGATGAGAGGAAGAATTAGAGGGCACTGAAGCTGGTGAAGATATTGCTGATGCAGGGGCGGGTGTCGTGGTATTATTGCCTGGGTTGTGTCCCCCCGTATTGCTACTGCTGTTGCTGTTTGAATTGCCACCATTCGATGATGCAGGAGGAACCGGTGTGGTAGTGGGCTTCCGTGGCGGTGTGGGTGCCGATTTGTTGTGAGACACCCCTCCTCCTGATGTTGGCTCCTGGCGAAATCGCGGAACTGGTTTGCGGAGGTAGACACATTTGCGATACACACAAGCTTGCTTGAGCACATCCTTACGCAGACAGTACTGACACTTGTTGCAGTTCTCCTTTACCTTAAATGAAATGTACACAATTTTTAACAATGAATTGAGCAAATAACAAACAAAGAATTAACAGACCAAAAAAAGAATTCTCTAAAACATTCCCTAGACCAGCAGTTCTCAACCTGTGGGTCGAACGACCTTTCCAAAGGGTCACGTAAGACCATCGGGAAAACACATACAATCTACAGTAATGAAGCATCAACAAAAACAATTTTGTGTTTGGGGGTCGCTGCAACATGAGGAACTGTAGTAAAGGGTTGCAGCCCAAGGAAGGTTGAGAACCACTGCCCTAGACTCTTCTATTACAGTTAAAATTAATCCGGGATGCTATTTTAAAAACATTAAAACTTGGCTTAATCATACACAATGTGGCCACAAACATAAAAACTACACGAAAATCAACTCCAAATATTTTAACATATTTGTACCACAAATATTATTTATCCTTTTCATATCACAACAACGCCCTTTAAATACATATCTTCCTATCCCCGCCCCCAAACGAAAAAGAAAAAAAAAAAAGAAAACAATCCTGTGACATTCCCCAGCAGAAAGAACAAAGAGAAATATTGGACTTTTATGGCATGAATCACTGGCTGATCCATCACACTTAGCTCCACTATTACATTGAAATCAATAAGAAAAATCCTCCTGACATCCTGCTCATGGCAGAATAAATTATATCAAATGTAATCAACTCTAGGATGGATGAAGCTAGAATTAAAGGGATTCGCATTATGCTTTTGGACATGCCTAGCATAGAGGAATTTTTTTTTAAAAATAGTGTGTGAAGATTCTTTTGCTTTTGTTGATGGTGGCAGTTTAGAGAAATATATCCTTGATGGTTGGTTAAGAGATTGATCATGATAATCATTAAAAAAAAAAAGCTTCCAGAGACATAAATTGTTTAATTCAGAATCAGAGTAATATAAAAATAAGTTGACTAATTTCATTTAGTTAGATATTGGAAGATTTAAAGTTATTTTAAAAGATGACAATTATTTTATTTTTCAAATGTTAAGAAAATAATTTTGATGCCCTTTAGATAAAATAAAGTCTTTTATCTCAAATGACCAGACTATAAATCAGGTGAGGCCAACTCTTGAGCTGCATGTATCACAAAGCCATTTATTAAAAAAAAATTAAATTAGTAATCTTAAACCCTAAATAAAAGTTATAAAACAATAATAAATAAATTTTCACCAGCATTTCTGTTTTTCTCTGATTAAGTGTAGAATGATGCTGCCTGTGAAGAGTTGACTTGCACTCAAAGTGGCACAAGGAGTCATTTTGGTTCACCAGCCCTACTCTAAATCTTAGAATAGGGCAGTATATCATATTTACCAATGCTCATACTCATTTTATGAGTCACTGCATATTAATTTTGTTGGCACTTATCTAAATCTGTATACAAGAAAGATAAACTTGCAGGCCTAGATAAGGGCAAGGGGTACTCTTGGTCAAATCCAAATCTCTAACTCTAAGATTATTTAGATCCAAGCTGGCCAAGGACAATTATTCAGGCTCTGCCCCTAAGTTCTTTAACATTAAATTGTTTTTTAAAGAATAAAAACATAAAAGTGTGCATCTGCATGTGTCAATCAAATATGAGGCTGAATTAGAAAATATGAGGGAAACTGATTCTACTGTAATCAGTCACTGTTATCTTCCCCATCAAATCTACCTCCTCATTTCTTATTAATTTAGAAAAAAATTAGGTTTTGGTTCTAGAAGATAATTGTACTAATATTTAATCATGGAAAGGTCCTGATTGAAAGGAGTAAATTTGGCACCCCCACCTCCTCCCCAATCTTCCCTCCTTGAATGAGTGCTTAATGGCTTAATCATCTTTATTTTCTATATTATTTTATAGTTAATAGTTTATAGGCCTATACTATACAATGACAATACAAAAAAGGATGATTCAAATAATGCAGATACTTTTTCTTTATGCTGTTTACTGGTATAAGTTAACAAATTAGTATTAAGTAATAGTACTTCACCACCATGGTCACAAGCAGACTATTACTATCACCATGATTCACCTCTGTACATTGAACATTCCAATTTTTAAAAATCGTGTTGTCGGTCAGCCGGGCCTCTCTCTTTCCCCTTATAAAATTCAGTAGAATTTATGGGCTCTAGTAATGCTCCTATAATGGCATAACCCCCCAAAAAAATAATCCAACCGATCCCCATGAACTACATTGATAAAACAATCGGCGTTGCATCAATGACAGTTGCTCGGGCTCCACTGAATTAGTAATAAATTTTGTTGCGATTTTGGGCATGGCTGTTTGGCGCGAGCTGGCAACTAACAAGCCGGATCTATGGCCAGGGAACAACAAACGACACGTCCTTTGGGGATATTTGGAGCGAAGTGAGGCGCTGATAAAAACTTAACAAACTGCAGCCAAAACACAAATTGTCACGTAAAAAACGGAGGGTTTCACGCTAATCCTCATGCATAAATACTCCATGCATCACACTTTTTTAAATCCTTAACTTACGCATAGGAGGACGAAATGGAATAATTTAACAGTATTGGGAAAAAAGGGGATGCGGAAAATGTGACGTAGGCCTATCTTAATTCTTTTATTTTTATACATTTGATTTTTTAAATAAAATTTTGCTGAGATAATTTTTTTTTATTGAAAACAAATAAACAACATTTTTTCAATTAAAACATTTTTTTAAAAAAACAACATTTCAGTGGGGACAGTCACAAAGGTATAATTATATATACCGTAATAATACCATTTCGGATGGGATGATCCGGCTACCAGACCGGATCTCCCCAGGAAATCCGCCATTTTGCAACTTGCGCCCGTTTGGTATTGGACGACTAGTGTCAATCAGTAACGACAACTCAAGTCCCCAGCTGGGGCTTCCTATGACAACGTCAAGCCCATAACATTTTATGCATCTCATCCAACGGACGCATCGATTTTTTTCCTTGTCCTCGTTCAATCAAAACCATGAATCTTGTCACCAGCACCACCCGGCCCATTTTAGCCATTATTCGATGCCTCCACCACCCTGATACTCCACTCCCCCCCCACACACACACACCATTACTCCTAGATTTATCATTCCACCCGCCCACCCTCACCCTATAACGGCACCGAGTTGTTTCCATTCACCGTGTAAGTGATGATACTGGTGCCATTATCCCTGGACCAGAGCCAGTCTGATCCATCGCGCGATGATTGTCAGTTTGTCATTGGGCTTCATTAGTGTGTGTGGGGGGGGGGGGGTGGGTTGTTGTTGTTTTTTTTGTTCTTCCTCCGATAAACTTTGCATAAAAAACAACAATAAAGTAATGTCATCTGACTCACGACTTTGGGGATTGTACTATATCACGAGATTGGTCTCCCACTGTCATGATTTAATTACTGCAGCTTTTTCAGTGCGTATTGTATTGTCTCTCATTATTCTATAAATTTACTTGTGGCTTCAGACCAGGAAGAAAAAAATCGCAACCCCTAACAAAATTCAACCCCCCCCCACACACACACTTTTAATATTTTTAGTAATTTTTTTTATTATTATTTTTTTTTAATTTTTTTTTTAACTATCAGGACTTGGGTTTGTTTATGAAACAGAAATTTATCGCAGGGAACAAAAATATTCTTGAACTGAAACTTGCCTCCAGATTTCGTAAAATTAAAATTTCATTCATTGGAGTCGAACTAGAGCGATATAAGTGTTCAAATGCAGAAAAAAAAAAAGAAAAAAAAACCCGATGAATTCCGCGCCATCCTTCAGCCCCAGCGTTCGTACACGGTTTAATTTTACCTGCCAAGTCCCGGCGATTAAAGAGCAGTGGTTTGCTGCCGACCTTTAAATCAAACAAGCGGTTCGAAAACACGCTGCTGTCGGCCAACCAGGCATGGATGGCGGGGACATATTTTTTTTTTTACGGCCGCGCGTTGGCAAACTCTTTGTGTGCTTTGGTCCATGACTCGATTTCATTCATGACGTCACTGTAAAAAAAAAAAAAAAAAAAAAAACCACCCACCAAAAAAAAAAAAAAAAAAAAAAAACCTCTCCTCAACAACAAGAAAGTACGACGGTGGAAAGGGAGAACACCAGAAATTAATGCTGAAATCAACGTTGATTGGTTAAATTGGCCAGCAAAAATCAGGTTGAGCGACCATAAGCAAGGAGTCAAAAAAAAAAAAATCCCTTAGCCTTTAGCTCAATAGGAATATTTCAGTCGGTGCCAGAGATCGATATTTAGTTCACTACAGAGACATGGAGAGAACAATATTTCCAATTCAGACGTGAACTTGCTCACGCACACATTCGACTCGTGTGAAAATGATGTCATTATTTCTCTTAGCGCCTACACTGTTTATCAAATGCGCATTTCGGATGAGGTGTAGAGCTGCACATAATGCACGTGTCTTTAGCTACTGTATTTGTTTTATTTCGGTGCGCATATTTAGACTCGCACAATATTTACTAATGCCGACTGTGCATATAGAAAGAGAAGTGAACGAAAGAACTAATAAATATATATATATATATATATATATATATATATATATATTTATATATTATACATATTATTCTCTTATGGTTACCGGAAATTTGATCGAAAGAAATTTCGTCGACGGTAAATTGATCGACGGTAATTTGATCGACCGGAAATTTGGTCGAATTTTTTTTTCAGATCACACGTTAAAATTTTCGTCAAGTATTTTTTTGAACGCAATGTACTTTATAGTAAAACAAAATAATGCGTTCAAAAAGACATTTGAAGCAAAATTTAAACGTAAAAACGGAAAAAAATATTCGACCATATTTCCGTTCGATCAAATTACCGTCGATCAATTTACCGTCGACAAAATTTCTTTCAATCAAATTTCCGGATACGTTCTCTTATAATTCAGCCATTCTTTCCATGGTCCACCGCCCAGCTACACAAGGGCGTTTCCACAATTCACCAAATGCGTAGATGGTTGTGCGGCGTCATTGACTGCGGTGAATTTATTTCACGAACTGGGCAGTTAGTGCCACGATCTGCGCGTGGCGTACAGACACATTTACTGCAATATTTCATTTGGCTCTGACAACCGAAACCCCGTTTATCTATGTACGTCACACGACACAAACTAAATAACAAAATGTTTCAATCGTTATACCCCGCCATCCTACGTCCAAGCTAATGGCGTCACCTCAAGGCGGCTGATGACAATTTATCCCTTGTTCGTTCAAAAATTTTATTTCTTGTACTTGTAGACTATATATTTTTTAAAAAAAATGAAATAAATGAAGCACACGTTATGTGAATGCTTGAAGAAAGCAAAGACCCAACAAAACAAGGAACGTATCGACTAAACGCCTACTTTATCAAATACAAGTAAGGAAAAGATACCGGTGATTTTTTTGTTTTTGCTTGTTCTTCTTACGAGAGAAGTAATGCGGCTCCTAAACAGATGGCGCTGTGGTCGAGAGGTCAGTGGCACACCTGGAATAAATGACACGCGGGGAGAACTCTCCAAAGTGCAACCCCCCCTCCCCTAACACAAACACATAAATTATATAGTGCTATATATAAACCCCAGCAGTGCCAGCCGGGGCGGTCGCCCCAATAACACCACCCCCCAAGTACGCCACTGTGAGAGGTAAACGGGATATCACATTAACAGGACAGTTTTCAGTCATTTACCTGACACGGCCCGCACTGACCACACCTCCGCCTCCTCTTGAGACGAAATTTCCCTCCGCCGTCGCTCTGTCCGTCCCATCCCATCCCCGGTGACGTGACGCCATCGTGGGGGTAGCTGTCCTCTATGACGTAGTCGTCGCCATTTTGTGTGCTGACGTGGAGAGGCAGGTTGTACTCGGCACTCATCCTGAGCACATTGTAGCTGGAAATAACGAACTGCAATTTATAAACATACACGCATACAACGAACTGCAATTTATAAACATACACATACAACGAACTGCAATGTATAAACATACACACATACAAGAACTCCTATTGGTAACAAACAATACATGCCAAGTGATGTTTTTAATTTAGAAAAAAATCTAACGTATTGTGTCTGAGAGTATGTGCACGTGAGAGGTGGGGTGGTGATTAGCGATGACGATGTCACAGAAAGCACCCCCCCCCCTTTTCACACACACACAAAACACCGGCTGCTCTGCGCCAAAGAGTAAGTGATGTACCCATTAAGCATAAAGTGATTAACGTCTCGGGGACACCAAGCCTACAAACAAGGGAAATTGGCTTGAGCAAATCTCTTTAGGCTTAGGATTATTATTTGTAACCGAAAACTAATTTTTTTAGTCACTTTCTAAAGGCCTGGCAGGACTTTATGGGCCTCATAGAACCCTTCAGGGCATGGCAGGACCTTCAGGACCTGACAGGACTTTCTGGGCCTGATAGAACCTTCAGGGCCTGGCCGGACCTTCAGGGCCTGGCAGGACTTTCTGGGCCTGATAGAACCTTCAGGGGCTGGCAGGACTTTCTGGGCCTGATAGAACCTTCAGGGTCTGGCAGGACTTTCTGGGCTTGATAGAACTTTCAGGGCCTGGCAGGACTTTCTGGGCCTGATAGAACCTTCAGGACCTGACAGGAATTTCTGGGCCTGATAGAACCTTCAGGACCTGACAGGAATTTCTGGGCCTGATAGAACCTTCAGGGCCTGGCAGGACCTTCAGGGCCTGGCAGAACCTTCAGGGCCTGGCAGAACCTTCAGGGCCTGGCAGGACTTTCTGGGCCTGGCAGGACTTTCTGGGCCTGATAGAACCTTCAGGGCCTGGCAGGAAACTTCAGGGACTGGCAGGACTTTCAGGGCAGAAACTTAAGTTACAGTGTAGGTTACATATTTCGATGTTGCTCTCGAAGACACGTCTATTAATTTAGCTCCCAATTCATTAATTTTGAAGCACGAAATTTGGCTTTCGACTGCATCAATACTTTATAACAAAAGCGAGGGGAGAATGCAAACATTCACACATTATAATAATATTTTTTTGGGTTAAAAAGTCCTAACTTATCCGGCGTATAAATACAAGATGTAAATCTGTTGGGAATGGCTTGTTTTCTATGCAGATTCCAAAGTCTATAAATATACCCCCAACGAGATGTCTGGGGCTGAGGTCCTTATAACGACCAGATCCCCGAAGAGAGGGGGGAACCTTATTGTCACATATTTTGTATGCAATGAGGTCCCTTAACGGGTATGGCGGTCTGGGAAGGGGGGAATAGAGAAGGGGAGGTGGGTGAAATTGAGATTTTTGGCTTGGGCAAATATGGTAATAAGGGGAGAGAATAATCACCCGGGATTGGCCGGAGTTCTCTTTTCTTTAACTAATATCTAGAAGGAAAAAAAAATCACAGATACGTACGGTGTAGAAGTGGTCATGGGATTCTGTGTGTGATTGTTAGGCTGGGCGGGAAGAGATCTGGTCTAAAAACTAAAAATTAATCGCTAAGCTATAAGCCCATTCCAGTAGGGGTGACAGAGGAATAAGGGGTACAGACTTTCTGGGGGGCAGTGGGTGTTAAAGTAAGTACAAACTGGGGAGTATGGGGTGTTGTAATATGTAGGCCTACAGACTGACTGGGGAGTGTTAAAATAAGTACAGACTGATTGGGGGCTTGTGGGGGGGGGGGGGTTACGGGGTGTTACTGTAATGACATACTGACTCAAATGACTGGATAGAGTGGAGAATTGTGTGTTACCATATGCCTACAGACTCAATGGGTAGAGTGGAGAAGTGTGTGCTACAATATGCCTACAGACTCAACGGGTAGAGTGGAGCAGTGTATGTTACAATATGCCTACAGACTCAATGGGTAGAGTGGAGAAGTGTGTGTTACAATATGCCTACAGACTCAATGGGTAGAGTGGAGAAGTGTGTGTTACAAAAAAGTAGGCCTACATACTGAATGGGTAGAGTGGAGAAGTGTGTGTTACAAAAAAGTAGGCCTACAGACTGAATGGGTAGAGTGGGGAAGTGTGTACTACAATATTCCGAAGGACTGATTGTTTAGTCCGGGTAGAGTGTAGAAGTGTGTGTTACAAAAAGTAGTCCTACAGACTCAATGGGTATAGTGGAGAAGTATGTGTTACAATATGCCTAGCCTACGGACTGACACAGACAGGCCTTATGTTTATTCCGACTGTCCTCTTCTCTATTTTTATCGAACACATAATAAGTGGACATAACATGGTCCATGGACAAGCTGTCCAATAAATAACATTGGGCTTCTGATTGCCGGGTGGAGATAATTCTGGAGGTCTGGGTGGAGATAATTCTGGAGGTCTGGGTGGAGATAATTCTGGAGGTCTGGGTGGAGATAATTCTGGAGGTCTGGGTGGAGATAATTCTGGTGGTCTGGGTGGAGATAATTCTGGAGGTCTGGGTGGAGATAATTCTGGTGGTCTGGGTGGAGATAATTCTGGAGGTGTGGGTGGAGATAATTCTGGAGGTGTGGGTGGAGATAATTCTGGAGGTGTGGGTGGAGATAATTCTGGTGGTCTGGGTGGAGATAATTCTGGAGGTCTGGGTGGAGATAATTCTGGAGGTCTGGGTGGAGATAATTCTGGAGGTCTGGGTGGAGATAATTCTGGAGGTGTGGGTGGAGATAATTCTGGTGGTCTGGGTGGAGATAATTCTGGAGGTCTGGGTGGAGATAATTCTGGAGGTCTGGGTGGAGATAATTCTGGAGGTCTGGGTGGAGATAATTCTGGAGGTCTGGGTGGAGATAATTCTGGAGGTGTGGGTGGAGATAATTCTGGAGGTCTGGGTGGTGATATGCATATAGGAAACACGGAACAAAGTGGATGGGATGCATGTATAATGAGATGAGATGCACGTACAGACCAAATGAGATGAGATGCATGTACAGACCAAATAAGATGAGATGCATGTACAGACCAAATAAGATGAGATGCATGTACAAACACAATGAGATGAGATGCATGTACAGACACAATGAGATGAGATGCATGTATAGACACAATGAGATGAGGTGCATGTACAGACACAATGAGATGAGGTGCATGTACAGAAGCAATGAGATGAGATGCATGTACAGACACAATGAGATGATATTCATGTATAGACACAATAAGATGAGGTGCATGGACAGACACAATGAGATGAGGTGCATGTACTGAGAAAATGCGATGAGATGCATATACAGAAACAATGAGATGAGATTCATGTATAGACACAATGAGATGAGGTGCATGTACAGAAACAATGAGATGAGATTCATGTATAGACACAATGAGATGAGGTGCATGTACAGACACAATGATATGAGATGCATGTACAGACACAATGAGATGAGATGCATGTACAGACACAATGAGATGAGGTGCATGTACAGACACAATGAGATGAGATGCATGTACAGACACAATGAGATGAGATGCATGTACAGACACAATGAGATGAGGTGCATGTACAGACACAATGAGATGAGATGCATGTACAGACACATTGAGATGAGGTACTGAATTAGAAAACACAAGGAGCTAGAATTGTAGCTGACATAAGCTTAGTACGACTTCCACACCACACTAACACCTCCTTTCTTTGATTTCTCTCCCACATCCCACCCACCCCTCCTCTCTTTGATTTATCTCCAACATCCCACCCATCATTTCTTTTATTTTTCTCCAACATCCCACCCCTCCTTTCTTTGATTTATCTCCAACTTCCCACCTCACCCCTCCTTTCTTTGATTTCTCCCCAACATCCCACCCCGCGTCTCTTTGATTTAACTCCAACTTCCCATCCTACCCCTTCTTTCTTTGATTTCTCTCCAAAATCCCACCCCACCCTCCTTTCTTTGATTTCTCCCCAACATCCCACCCCACCCTCCTTTCTTTGATTTATCTCCAACTTCCCACCCCACCCCTCATTTCTTTGATTTCTCCCCAACATCCCACCCTTCCTTTCTTTGATTTCTCCCCAACATCCCACCCCACCCTCCTTTCTTTGATTTAACTCCAACTTCCCACCCCACCCCTTCTTTCTTTGATTTCTCTCCAACATCCCACCCCACCCCTCCTTTCTTTGATTTCCCCCAAACATCCCACCCCACCCCTCTTTGATTTAACTCCAACTTCCCACCCCACCCCTCCTTTCTTTGATTTCTCCCCAACATCCCACCC